TCTATCTATCTATCTGTCTGTCTGTCTGTCTGTCTGTCTGTCTGTCTGTCTGTCTGTCTGTCTGTCTGTCTGTCTGTCAACTCGGGAGAAATTCAAACCTTCACTCAGCCATGGAAACTCATGGGTGTGGGAGGTAAACAGCAATGAACCATTCCATGAACACCTCACAATCTGTAAAAATCCCGTTAGGTAAGTTGGAGAGGTAAACTCTATAGAGAGGGTTGGGTTGTTGGTTTGTCTTTATGAGTAAGGTTTCTGCTTTAATTGTTATTTCCCTGCCACCTCTGTTTTTTGCTTTAAGGTGTCTGCCGGGAGTTGGGCTGTTTGACGCTGGGACAGAGGGTCCTGTCTTCTTAGGGCTAAGTCTTCCAAGTCTGAAAATGATTTTACTTTACAGACTTCTGTGCTGCTCTTAATAATGCTCACTGAGGCACCTCCAAAAGCGTTTTTTATAGTGAGGTAATCAGGAAGAGTTTTATAGTCTTACTTTCTGGTGTCAAGGAATACCTTGAGCAGGTAATTATTATCTGACAAGCAAATCTTGCCAACTGGGTTTTTACTTTATTTTATTTTACTTTTGGCTGCAGGCAAAGGTGAAGTAAACAAAGGAAGCAATTATGAAGATTTAACAACTCAGCCCTATGAGTTGCCTTCCTCAACCTTACATGAATAATGCAGTAGCCTGTGTTGTGAGTGACAGTTAAAGCTATAACCATTCCTTGGCAAGTAGGAGAGCTGCCAAACTTTGCCACAGAGGCCTTAATTGTGGCCTCAAGAGGATAACATCGATGCAGCATTAAGCATTTTTTCTTGGCTCACTGACAGGCTTCCTCCTCTGTTAGACAAGAGCTGATGTGGCCGTCTGAGGCACAGGGGCTGAGAGCGGGAGACTAAGGAACCAATTGATTGGCATTTATTTCCTTCAATATTATGTTTTTAATATTGTTATGTTGAGCGCAACATTTTCGATTTTCTGCCTCAGACCTCAAAATGCCTCTTGCCACTTCTGGCCCTTGGCCAAAAAATTACCACAGGTTGCCAAATAAACAGTTTCAGTAGGGAAGCCTAATGGGAAGGGGGTGATATGTAGCAGTAATCTCCACAACAGGACTTTAGAGTAGATTGTTTGGTCCCAGTGTGACCATTTGATTCAGCACAACAACAGCAGGCATTGGACAATTGATTACTGGCAGAAAATAGTGATGGAGGGAGTCTGAGATCTAAGATGAAGTTTGCTTTCACACAAAGAGATTATGATTTGTGTTGTGATAGAAATTCCAGTCTGGGATAAGTGCCGTCTCTACACTTACTGTCAGCTTGGGAAGAAACATTTTCCCTATTATAAAGTGTGCAGCTGATTTTGTTCCAGATGTACAAATAAGTGGAAGTATAATGTTCACTTGGAATAATTCAAGGAGGACATTTCAGAAGTGGATGTAGGTTGTGGAAATGCAGCGTGGCCAATTGCCAAAGGTCTCTTCTCAAACTCTTCCCAGGCTAATGAGAATTCAAGGACAAATATGGGATTCTTCTCTCCAAGCCAACTGATACAGAAGTATCTTATTCACCCTTCCAGGCCACTGAAGATAGAAACAGTGAAAGCTGGTTATCTGTGAGAAATTATGCCCTTGGTTGCTATCTAAGCTTCACACAACCCCTGGGCCTTGTATGCTAGGGCTGTAAAGACATTATGTCATTTCATTTCTAGGCCATGTTGTGGCTTTAGAGCCTCCAAGAAAGTTTATAATGACACTGGAACCAATATTAATCTCAAAGATGATTTATACAGCAAAACACAATCAGGACTGGGGATTTAAAACCTATCAGAGCAGAGAGAGCAATTGGATCTTCATTGATTAAAACAGGTAAAATAGATTCTCTCTCTCCCACCACCCACCCACTGCCCTTGTAAAAAATGATAAAGGAATTGGAATACTTGTTAACATCTTGCAGGACAGAGCTCCACAATGAGAAGTTTGCTGCCACCGAAATGTCCTGTCTCACATCCCCAGTGACTGCTTCTCCTCAGAAGACAGAGCTGGTTTATATGAGAAAACTCTCTGGATACTCTGGGTTCAATCAAGACTTGTCTGTCTTTCTAACCAACTAAACCTCATTTGCCCATGGTCTCTCCCTTCATCTCCACTACAGCACCAGGACAAAAGCTGAAATCTTATTGTGTACCTCTATCTTTCAACAGAAATGACCTCATTGGCAGCAGTAGATCATGATGGCCTTTAATCAGTGGCAATCTGCCACTGCATAGGTGGACCCTGCCCAGGATTTTAGCCACTGAAACTGCACAAAAGGTAGAGCTTGTCCAAGTTTATTTTTTTGAGGACAGCTGAGCAAATCAAGGCATACAATAGAAATATAGTAACATCGTTGTGTAGTTGCTAGGTATCTACACTGGACATTTGTCTGGAGATGTGTCCAGAGCACAAATAGAAGTAGATAGTGAAGAAACTGAATAAGCTTTTCTTTTCTTTTCTTTTTGGAAAATCAAATGTCAAAGGCACCTAGCACACAAACATCTGAAGTTAGCTGTATGAAATTCACCAGGTCTACTCTCCTATTTAGATGTCTGTCATGTTTCTAAATTTCACACACGTTTTGCAAAAACAGAAAAGTTACAGTTTGATTTTTCAGTGCAAGTCACAAATCGGATAGGCACACATTTCCTAAAACAAGACAGATAATTCAGGCTTCTTACCACAGCATTTGGTTTCTGTTCTTGGAAATTCAGTGCAAGATAATAAATAGGTCAAACCTATGATTGATGGATAAAGCCAGAGCATAAAAAAGATGGAACAGACTCCAGAAATAGAACAGAGGTGTGTTAGTTTACATAGTCACATGTCCCTGTTGCTTAGTGCTAGAACTTGGGACGAGTATAGTTACCTGTACTTAGTTAACAGGTTAACAAAGTTAACTTATGGTTAATGAGATGTAACAAAGTTACATCCTTGAAGCAGCAGAAGCCCCTGGGAATGCCCGCCAATCCCACATGACCTTGTGGCCAGTGCCACCAGTTTGTCCCTGCTTTTGGGCTACAAATGATGCACCCCCATCAGTTGTGGGGGATCATAGAATCACAGAATAATTGAGTTGGAATGGCCTTAAAAGTTCATCAAGTCCAACTCCCTGCTCAATGCAGGAATCCAAATCAAAGCAGATCTGACAAATGGTTATTCAATTTTCTCTTGAATGCCTCCAGCGCTGGAGGTAATTGGTTCCATTGCTGTGATGCTCTAACATAGTTTTTTTTCCTGCTATTCAGCCTAAATCTGGCTTCTTGGAGATTGAGCCCATTATTACATTTCTGCACTCTGAGATGATCAAGAACAGATCCTGCCCCTCCTCTGTATGACTACTCATTCATTCATTCATTTAGTAAATTTATGCCCCACCCATCTAGACTGAAGTCTGCTCTGGAAGGGCTACCTTTCAGGTATTTGAAAAGTGCTGTCATATTTCTCCTTAGTCTTCTTTTCTTAAGGTGAAACATACCCAGTTCTTTCTAGGGGAACTAGTACCACAGAGGATTTGGAGACTATAGTTCTGTCAATGTATCCTAAAATAGCATTGACCTTTTCTGCAGTTACATCACATTGTTGGCTCATATTCAGCTTTTGCTCTACAACAATTCCAAGATCCTTCTCACATGTAGTATTACGGAGACAAATATTCGCCACCTTGTAACTGTGCATATTGTCCCCGATCCCCCAAGGTGCAGAACTTTGCACTTATCTCTGTTAAATTTCATTCTGTTTTCAGCTCAATGCTCAAGCCTATCAAGATCTTTTTGAAATTTGTTCCTATCTTTTAAGGCAATGGTCCCCAACCTTAGACCTTCAGATGTTCTTGGACTACAACTCCCAGAAGCCTTCACTACCACCTCTGCTGGCCAGGATTTCTGGGAGTTGAAGTCCAAGAACATCTGGAGGCCCAAGGTTGGGAACAACTGTTCTAAGGTATTAGTTAGTCCCCCAATGTTCTGTAATCCGTAAATCTGATAACTATTCTCTGTACTCCTTCATCCAAATCGTTTATAATCTGCTACACAATTTTCCCTGGGATCAATGTCAGGCTGCCCAGTATGTAGTTCCCTGGTTCCTCCTTTTTTTTTTGCTCTTTTGAAGATAGGATCGATGTTAGCCCTCCTCCAAACTTTGCTTCTTTTCAATACTAGACTGCTGTCTAGTAAATTTCATGATTTTCTCAACTGAAGAAGCAGCTATAGTCAGGAGAACATAATGGACAGGGCATTTCCCTTTAAAGTGGTTGTTTCTCCTCATGATATCTGCCCAGTTTTCAGCCTACTCAGACAGGGTTCAGAGTGGCAATGAGATCGGGGAATTCACTCCTACTATTCTATAGAAATAAATGTTCATAATCTTTCCATCCTGTCATTCTGAGCCTTTTGCACCGTCAGGCTGTGCTAAGGAAGTCTATATTGCTTGCAGGTTATCGATTTCTGTCAGAACCTGAGGAACGAAAGTTGTTTACTTAAGGGACAGCTGCAGGTAACCAAATAGCATTCTCCAGAATATAAATTCCTACTGTTTTGCACAAAATGTACGTGGAGTGACATCTAAAGGTGCTCTGTTGTACTGCAAAGCAAAATATCTTATTGAATATTACAGCCACAAAGCACACAAGGAATGTCTTCAGCAGCAGTGTTCATCATTATCATTTCGGAACTGCAGGGCTGGAAGAGACTGACAGGTTTGAGATAAACCTGGAGAA